TGTACTGTGTTACTCTATATTATACCTATATCGTAAAAATTAATAAACAATGTCATGAAAAAATAAATTGCTTTTAACCTCACCCTTTTAAAAATGCAGCACACAGGCCTGATTCTTTCTATTCCTTGTTTTACCATCGGTCAGTGAACCGATTTTGTGAATTCTTCAGAAAAATATCTGATAAATTTTGTATGAATTCAAGAATGGATTTGTTGATTTTTACCGCAACCTCCACATATATTAAATATCTATGTTATGGTCAATGTCCGAAGTCTATGGTCAATTTGCGAAATGGCTGGCTATTTCTCGGTTTGACCCAATCATGTGGCCAAAACCAGAAATATACGAGAATTTACGACTACTTCGGGCTTTGGCCGGATGGTAACACTATTGTGCTCATTTTAATCCGTCCGAATCGTAGGTGAACGAAGATATGAAATAAAATGGTTCGAATTCTTACAAGATATTATTATTTATTATGAAATTTTGCCGTCCCCTAAAAAGTGCCGCCGGGGGCGGGCCGCTCCCACTACGCTACGCTACTGTGGGAACCGCAGTTCTATACTTTTTTATTCTGTACCGCAGTACTATATCGCGATTTTATTATATAATATAAAACAAATATTGAATTTTTTAATAAACATATTTTCACAAAAGTGTGGAAATAAAATTGTAAAAATAATAATGAAAAGCAGAAATTAACACTTTCAACAAGAGCCGCATGTAACTCAAAAAGAGCCGCATTTGCCCATGTCTGGTATATGGTAACAAAAACTTGGTTTAGTGCGAAAAGGAGATTCCTTCCGGGAAGATGTCTTCTAAATTTATTTATTTATTTATAGATTAAAATGTTGAAAGTTCGCGAAAGTCTTCGAAATCAACAGGATTCTATTCCGGGTAACCCAAAGAAGTAGGACTTTCTATGAAAAACTAACCCCTATTTAGACGTTAGACAAGTAAAGAAAACTCCAGCCCGTTGATGAGGCACGAACCCGCGACCAGTGTTCAGTGGTTTATCCATTCGATCACTGATATCCAAGCCAGGCGGCCCACTAATGGCAAGCGGTTTCGTTTCCTGAACACTGGGAGTTCGGTCGTGGGTTCGCGCTTCGCCAGGACGGGCTGGCCATGCGGAAGTTGTCCTCGTCTGTAACGCCTGAATAGGGGCCAATTACTCTTAAAAAGATCTCACCTTGGCAGATCACCCAAGTGTTGCGTTGCCGTAGCTTAATAAAACAAACAAACAAAACCAAGACAGGCCTGCATGAAAATTTTTTGGGGTTTTTTAACCGCCTGGATTTGATTCCAGGTTCCCCAGACCGTTAGACTGAAGCCTAAATGAAATTACTACTATTGATTTCAGTTTCATAAACTTAACGCTTGTTCTGGGTAGTCACTAAAGCGACCAAAATGCCTTAAATGGATATTGTTTAAATACACCCGATCGCTTTTCAGGACATAATTAAATATTGTTATTAAGAAAATACGAGTAATACTAGCTAATAAAATATGGTTTGCATGATTTTTCATAAATCGCATATTTCTGCATATTTCATTTATATTAATTTGATTTTTATTATTATGTATTTATTGATAAAATATTCTAACAAATAAATTTGAATACAAATCATCTGTTAAAAATCAAAAACATTCTTCTCCTGCTTTCATTGAAGAGAAAGTAAAGTAACTTGTTTCCTGGTGTCATTACCGCAAAATTTAAATTTCCGTATTAATGTATTATAAATATTTTATACAGTATTTTTAATAAATTGATACGTTTTGGAGGAACCAAAAATGAGTCTAGACCCAGAAAATAAAACACCTTAATTTGTTGCTGAGAAATATAATTGAAAAACTAAGGTTTTCAGCCTGATTAACAGGCCATCATCAGGTCCGAGTCTAGACCTTTCGAAAAATCCGAAGAATTTTTCGGGGGTGATCTGATTGGATATGTTTGATCCCGTCCCTTACCATCGGTCGTTCTCATTGTGGGCATGGCCGAACACGCAATGGATATAAAAAAGACTCTCTTATTATAAATAAATTTTACATTTACTTATTGGAATCTTATTGAATATAACGTTTTTCGTTGTTAATAAAGTAGTCGACAATGTGGAAGCGTGTTTACTATCTATCTGAAGGTGCGAGTTTGTTCCCATTTGGGATAGACTCTTACCATTTTTTTAAATTTCGATATAACATTTTTTTTTTTTTTTTTTTGTTATACTTTATGATTATAAGGAAAAATTATAAGATTTTAAGCAAAACTACAAAACTTACTATGATTTAAAGATGATAATTCGAATTGTAAAAGTACTGAATCTTCTTTGCTGTTTGTTAAGCTATGGCAACGCAACATTTGGGCGGGCGATCTGCCTAGGGGAATCGGCCCCTATTTAGGCGTTACAGATGTAAAGAAAAGCCGGAAAACTCCACGTGGCCAGCCCGTCCGAGCGAGGCGCGAAACCACGACCGAACTCCCAGTTTTCAGGGTACGAAGACCGCTTGGCCACTGGGGGGCACGAATTTTCTTTGCACAATCGTTATTACGCTAACATTGCTTCTTGTTTACTTTTGTATTTAAAAGAAAAATTGAGTAATCATTTAAACGTAAAGGGTATAAGTTTATATTTGAAATTGCTAACAGATTAACTATAACAAATTAATTTCGAGAGATGTAATATCCGATTAAAGCATAGGCCGTTATGCCCTGAGGCATATATCAAGGTTAATCCAGGAAACCGGAAATATGTTGTTGAGAACAAAAGAAGTGGTTGCTTAATTCACTTCCTGTCTTTTATTCTATATTAAAAACATTGATTTATCTGCTTGTATTCTATATCAACAACTTTAATATATACTACATATTATTATGGAGAAAATCAACTTAATGTTTTAAAATATTTGCTGAAAATAATTTTATTGAGTTGAATTATATAGAATTTAGATATGATTTTAAAATATAATACAGCATTAAAAAAAGAAATTAAAATACTGTATATAATTAACTAATTAATTATCTAAATTTAATAAGTTTTTTTCTCTTAATTAAATGAAAATTTGCTGTAAACAAATAGCTTCTTTAGCTTCTTTTGAGCCAATAAAAATTCCATTTAGAGATTAAATTCTCACAAAATAAATAAAAGTTTATCAATTGATAAAATAATAATCCAATATTTTTATATAATCATCACAATTTTATACAAAATATTCTTTGATTTTTATCTACTGATAAGAGGCAGACAACAATGTGAAGTATTCATGCATTGAATCCCATTGATCTCAAATTCTGAAAAGAGAGGAAAAATACGTAAAAATTAAAATAATAATTTTAGATATCAAATTTAATAATTAATTTTCTTTTTCTTATTTTATATTATTTAAAATAAAGATATTTGTGATTGTATGAACGCGCATAACATTGACATACAGTAGCGCATGAATTTATGTTCGTTTAAAAATACAACTTTTAAAAATATCAATGAATTCATCAGTTAAATTTAAACAGAACATAAACTGTACAATATTTCATTTTAACGTGAAGTATAATGGTTTAAACGCATTCACGTCTAAACCAAAACGACCTTGGACCCAATTTAAATCACGACTTTTTTATTAAGCACTTAAACAGGATTTTTTAAAAAAGTGACGATATTCGCCACTAGGGAGAAAATTCAAATTTTTAAAATTTGAAAAAGTTCGTAATAAGTTTTTAAATTTACATTTATATTTAAAATTTATCTATAAATATAAGAAAAAATTTTAAAGTTTTTAATGATCGAAAACGATAATAAACTAAATATAAATTTTTTGTTTTTAATTTTAAAATTATTTTTCGATCGAATATTTTTAAAAGGTGGCAGCTCTACATCAATGGCCGATAGTTTGATGAACGTCTGCGGAACTTAGGTTTGTCGATGTTTTTGTAAATTATAAGAAAATTTAATGGAAATTATTGTTCATTTTACGTATTTAAACTTAAATAGAATGCGTGTATAATAATTCGAGACGTAGAAATATCGATATTTGCGAGATTACGTCAAAAATCCGGCTTGACGTCACTTCTGACTTAGTGCTTATTTGCATAAAATTTGAATGGAATTATTCTAATTTTTTAGCGATTTTGTAAGCAGAAAGAAATATTTAAACGCAAGATGTTCGAATTATGACATAAACAAGCAATATCGATCGGTAAGATCATGATTTTGATACCTTCTCAGTGGATATCTTCCTCGATTAATCTATTAAAGTAGGTGATCCATTAAACTTCACATTATAACATTATAACACCTGGACTCAATACAAATTTATATTAAAAATTAAAAAAGTATCCTAACTGAAACATAATTAAAGACATTCAAAGCATTACAATACTTCATTTGTCTTTAAAATAAAAAAAAATTTACTTGAAAAATGTCTATTTTCATGTATTTATACAGTATTAAAAATATATAATCATTAAATTAATATATATAAAATGTTATTTTTAATATATCAAAGTTCAATATGTGTATATATACTCTTTAAGAGCTTTTTTTATGCAATTAAAAGAATTTGGGATGTTTAGGATGATTTCTGGAACCAGATTTCACTAGTTTTTCACCTTTTTTTGTCATAAAAACTAGCCGAGAAGTTGAACTTCCTGAATAGCAAATTTCGAAGTAAATTTGAAGGTTAAAATGAAAGGAGCGATTTGAAGTAAATTGAGTTTATACATGATTACATGAAATTAAAATGTTTTATATGTAATTACCATTCATTTATATAATTTTCTTTGAAATTATGGAGTGAAAGGTAGAATTTTTATAAAAATTGTTGTTTAAATAGCATTACTCTAAATCATTTAATTAATTTCTCTTCAGTTTTCTCTATTGATGATTTGAATTAAAGAAAATAAAATCAGAATAGAAATCTGATTCTGTTGTTTGGTATGCATATTTAAATATAGTAGTAATGATTGCATAATACAGTATAAAGTAGAAATAGTACCTGGTAAGGTGATGAGATTACTATATTTGATAAATAAAGGTAATTCAGTCTTGAGTTTTAATTTTATCTGTATTATATTATGTGTAAATGGATCACAAAATGCTCAAAATTTATGTGTTAATTTTTAATTTGTGGAATAAATAATGGTATAATCATTAATGATTTAAAGTCTTTCCAATATATAATTAGATAAACAGGACAATTGTTTAAATTAGAAATTTTTTAGATGAATAATAATGTCAACTTATGAAATTTATATCAAATTTATTAAGATTTAGAAAGCATTTCTTAGAATCCAGCAATTTTTATTTGTTGTTTTAGATGAATAATAATGTCAACTTATGAAATTTATATCAAATTTATTAAGATTTAGAAAGCATTTCTTAGAATCCATGAATTTTTATTTGTTGTTTTATTTAATAATGATCCTATATTTTTTGATAATATGTTGAATGGCTGAGAATTAAACTACAGGTATACCTCGCCTTACGTCTGTAATTGGTTCTAGGAAAACGACTTAAGTCGAAAAACGACGTAAGTCGAATTTACTTGTCTCCGAATCTACTTGTCACTAGGCTAAACCATAAATTACTATTCCCAGTTCTGTATTTTATTTATTAATGCATTTTTAATAATATATGGTTAATAAGAATCTATTTTAAGCTTACAAACAAATAAATTTCAGTTTTTAATAGAGTACAGAAAAAAGTAATCTAAATTTACGAATGCATGTACTGTTCTGTAAATACAGTACATACTTGTAAATGTATATATTTTAATATGATTTTATGTGCTTTAAACGCTTTTCTAGTGATATTACGAATTCAATATTTGTGGCGGACGGATGTAAAGTCGAATAAAATGACTTAAACTTGATTTTTATTTTTCCGTATACTTTTTTGACAAACAACGTATAATCGGGAACGACGTAACTGGAAACGACGTAAGTCGAGGTATACCTGTACAGGCTTTTCCATATAAAATGTAATCCCTCCATTCACTAACATAATTCTTGTGTTCAAGCCAAACAAACTGCCAAATTATCAAGCTATAATACTGCTAGGTAATTAATTAAATAATAAATAATTTGTCTAGAGGTAGGCAATTATGCTGCCATCTCATGCTAGATTTAATAATAATAATAATAATAATATAATAAATTTTTTTCCTTCTATCAATATAGCTACCAATTTGGCTGTTAATGAGGACTTATCATACCACAATTAAAAAAGAACTTTATTTTTTTTAATTAACTCCAAAATGTACATTTTGATCTTTTGGTCATGAGTTGGAGTAGACAATTTTTATAAAAATTGTAAAGTTTTCCATATATAGTTTTTCTTTTGAGTACGAGTTTACAAAACTAAATAATAGTTCCAACTTTGTAAAATCATATTTGGAAGAAGAAAACTATATATGGAAAATTTTAAATTACAATTTTATGAAAATTGTCTACTTCAGTTGAAAAGAGGTCAAAAGATCCATTTAGTATTTAATTAATTACATAGCAATATTATATATATTTGGCTCAATAATTTGGCAGTTTGTTTGGCTTTAACTATAAATCAGTTCATTTATATCTTGTATGTTCCTTGTTGTTAATAACAGAACCTGTCTAAACTTCATCACCAGTATATTTAGCTGAAGTCTTATTAGGAGCTTTACTTTCTAAGTACTTCTGACAAAATCATTATGCACTGTACTCAAACATCACATATGCAAATAAGTCTTGATGATAAAAACCAAATTCCTCTTGCAAATACATCCATTTTCTCTCTTGCACAGTACTGAGAACATTGCTTGCAATGTAACTGCTATTGGGAAGAGTCTATTGATTTGGCAGGATAGTCATATGTTAAACAAGTTGATTCCAGCACGTAGTATTGTGTTTTTGTTGGGTGATTCATATTTCCCAGTACACTAATAGATTTCATTTTATATGGGACATATTGTATGTAATGTAATATATATTCTTAAGTTGGTTAAAATCATTTATTATATTACTGAATTATATTATATTCTAGAGTTTATATTTTGAGATTTTTGTTTTGTATGAATTTAGAATTCTAATTTATAGTAATTAATATTTACTGTAATTTTGAAAATTTTAAAGTAATAATTTGTTATAAATTTTTTAAGGTTTTAGATACAGATTATGAAAATATTGATACAAAAAATAAACTGGAAATAAGTTTTGCTCTGTATTCTCCTCAAGGAAAGAATCTTATTTCTGAGACAAAAAAATCTGATGGAATACATAGGCAAGTTTATTACAAAATTTTAACTTTTTTTGGAAAACTATTGTCATTTTAAAAATTTTAGTAAAATCTTCAATTTAGTTAAGTAAAACTATTTATTTTGCAAACTTGATAATATAAATGGTTAATTATTTATAATGAATATAATATNAACAGGGACGGGTACCTTGACGGGAGGTGCGTCGGACTACTGAGCATGTTGGATTAAAAAACGTCGGACTATAGAGGGACAACTGTACAGTAATGAAGAAACTTTTTATTGTTTTGAGATATTAGGTAAGCAAAAAGTTTGGTTATTTATCATAAAAATTAAAACAGTGCAGAAATTTGTATAAAATGTTTAATTCATTAAAATAAACACTTTTACAGTCTATGCAACTCTTTTTATAAAACTTGTCTTTAGATATAAAAAACCTAGCAGTCTTTGTTTTAGTATAAAACTGTCTGTTTCATATGTTATTGTCTAGCTCTAAGAAAAGGTGATAATTACATGGAGAAATGTCAGGACAATATGGAGGATGCAGTCTTGTCTTGTAAGAATAGCACTTACCTATAAGATTTATGCTTTAGGATGGGAGATACTTCCTCATCCTCCATATTCTGACATTTCTCCAAGTAGTCATCACCTTTTCTTAGAACTAAACAGTCACATATGAAACAGACAGTTCTATACTAACAAGTAAGACAAAGATTGCTAGGTTTTTACATCTAAAGACAATGTTTTTATAAAAGTGGAATTTATTTAAAAAAAACCACACACATTTTTTTTAATTACCTGATATAAAATAATCTGAAAGATTTTTTTTTAGATTATACATTAAAACAAATTTTTGTTTATTCAAAATTATAAAAAGTATATATAAAGTCAATAAGAATGTTTTAGAAACAACAAAAACATTTATTAAATAAGAACTCTAGTGATGTTACCTAAATTTTTTTAAGTAAAGGGCAAGTAATAAAGTATTGTATATTAAATAAACTATTTGGAAACTAGAATGATTACATTTGTATGTTAATAGAGTATGTTATTGATTACCTGCTATATATATTATACAGATTATAGTAATCAGCTTTATATGTCAAATATCATTTGAATACATATCATTGTTATAATTCATTTTAAGTTAATAACAAATAGACTCAATGTTTTTGCATTATAAAATTATGTAAAGTTGTGAGATCTTTCCTATAAATAAGTTCCTTGAAATTAAATTATATTTTTGTGATGTAGTAGATTATTATTATTAGTAGTAATAGTAGTAATACAAATATTTTAATTTCTTTAAAAAAAATCATTTATATCTTTATAAAAGTGTATTTTATTACATACATTGCAAGAAAACAATGCAAAATTTATTAAATGAAATGCTATCAAAATTTTTGAAATAATGATTTATATATTGAAATATGCTAATAATAATAATTATAACCCCCTTCGTCACCACCTGATTGTGGTTGGAGAGCCCAGTAATTTTACTGAACCATAGAGCAATGCAGGCTGGAGCACAAGTTCCTGGTAGGGACACTCATGCCAGTAAGGTCTATGGGGAGAAATGAAGCTAAGAGTGACCACACCCACATTCTGTGGAGATAATTATTATGGTAGTAACCAGATCAAAGTGTGATACCGGCTCGGATGTCATCCAGGTTAACAAGGTTCGTGTTCGTGGGTTAGGCAGAGGCTCATTTGAAAAATAGGCCACAGTCTCCCTTCGTTACCAGTGGCGAAAGCAGCGCTGGCCCAAGCATGGCTACTGCAATGCCCTCAACAAATGTGAGGAATCAATCTAGCCCTGGTGTTTCTGTGGCAATGTATCCACAGACCACAAAGGCTGGAAAACCACGNTACATGCTATTAATACTTTATCATTCAAATAGAATATGTATTCAAATATGACAAATGTAATAAAAACTTTTTAAAATTTTAAACAATTTATGACAGAATTTTATATTACTATATATATATATATAGTCTTTTTGACTCATTTCTCAAGTGGGGTTATCAGGTCAAATGCACCTCAATCTAAGAGGTCCATTCTGCACCCTACTGAGAAAGAAAGTTTCGTTCTGCTTCATAATAGGTATGAGGGTGGATTAAAAGGTTTCTGGAGTGACAATGAAAACCAAATAAATGATTTTGAAGTTATGCTTTGCTTTTCAGGGTAATCCCCTCAAATCTTAACATATTTGATCCAACATTTCTCCAGCTTTTTGATTTCCTCCCAGAAGTGATTTTTTTTTCCAAGATTCCCAAAATAGCTGTTTACAGCTTTGATCACCTCTTCATTGGGCCAAAATCTCTTTCCATCTAGGAATGTTTTGTGTTTCAAGAACAGGTAGAAGTTTGAGGGAACCAAATCTGACAAATATGGTGGATTTGGAAGGATTTCAAACTTAATTTCTGCCATTTTTGTTGAACAACTGCACTTGAATGAGTGGGTGCATTGTCAGGGTAAAACAGCACTTTTTTTTGGTCATTCTTGGGCATTTTTCCTGAATCACTGCTTTGAGTTTGTCCAAAAATGTTGCATATATTGACCAGTGACAGTTTCTCCTTTTTCAAGATAGTCAATTAACAAAATTCCTTTGGCATCTCAAAAACCAATGCCATCACCTTTCCAGCTGAATGAATGGTCTTTGCCTTCTTTGGAACCTGCTGACTGTCTCAAATTTGCTGTTTTGATTGAATTTTTATTTCCAGTATGTAGTTGTGAATCCTGGTTTCATTTTTTATGCAAAAAATAAATTACTCATTTATAGAAGATGCCCACAGCTTCTCAATTTCTCACACTTTGATTTGATCATCTTCTAACAACATGTCATGGATTTTATCCACAATTTCTGGAATGATAGCAGTTTTTGGACATCCTGAATGAGGCTAATCACTTCTGTGTGGGGCCACACTTGATTTCCGAAATCCAAAAACTTACCATGGATAATGAAGGTGATGAATTGTCAAGAACATTCCCCACCTGGATTTGATTTCCATTGCAGTTGTTTTTCCCTCCAAATTGAAAAATTTGGTAACAGCTTTTCTCCATGTACAAACAGGCACACAGGATATCTCACTTTGTTGTTTCTAAAACCTAACTATTGGTCATATTGTTGTGAAATTTGGAGTCACTACATATGAAAGATTTACTGCAGTGCAGGAAAACTGTTTCCAAACAAAACACCCCCAGTGGCAATTCTGGAAACTTTTCAATTCATTCTTGTACTTTGAGTTCAAAAATAAGATAGATTACTTTTTATTGATTTTATGAAGTTAGAATTTGGTAAAGAATTATACAAGTGCATTACAAGAAAGATTATTGTAAAATAATTTGTATTAACAATTAAAATTTGACTTAAGCACCTTTAAACATGAGTTATTGGATGCCATTTATTACTATATAAATGTCAGTTAATGTGGTTTTTGTTAATTTGATTTAAATTCAATTGTGGCACATACTGAAAAATGAAAGTAGTATTTTTTCTGCATGTGCATTGAAATCTAATTTACATAGCAACACTATCTATAATTTGTATCATAGTGTTTAATGATGTGAGGCAATCTCACTGCCACTAATTTCTGAATCAGTAGTCCTGTTATTGATTGGTTGGGCTGTTGACTTCCTTTAACATAAAATAAAACAACTTCTTGCAGAATTACTGGGAATGATAATCCACACACGAGAACCTTTTTATAACCCAGTAACAGTAACTTTTAATTAAAATATAAAATTTTTGACAGTAATCATGGTCAAAAGCCTGAGGAAGACATGATTATGGTTGAAAATGTTATATTTTAATTAAAATTTGTTGTTACTGGGATATAAGAAGGTTCTCGTATGTAGATTTTTTAACATAGGAAGTATAGGAAGTTGACCATCTGTAGTAAGACTTTTGCCAAGTAGCTTATTTAGCAAATGAGTTATTGTACGGCAACTGGTGCAATTTTGAGTTTGAAATTCTGTTCATAAACTGATTTGTTTGAAAAGTGAGACATTTGAAAACTGTGGTTTGACTGTATTGAAAATTTCCATATACAGTAGAATCTTTTTTTAATGATTGCTTGGACTACCAAAAATCGTTCATTGTTCCGAGAAACTGTTATATCATGAACAATGGATTTCCCGAAGACCCAGGAAAATATCTATTATTTAACCTTCTACATATAAGAAATACCTGTACTTGAAATTATTCAGTCTTTTGAGATCTCTATTCTTTATTCTATAGAAACATGTATGTCACAAAATCATTTATTATGCTGTACATGTATACAACAAAGCTGACAGAAACTGTATAGGCCTATACCACAAGCACAAAAACAAGAGAATTATGTATGGTCATTAGCACTTCACTTGACTTCACAATTTATTACAAAAAAAAAAAAAAACCCCTATCTGTCTTGGTTTGTTTTGATGCTGCCTATTGAATACAGCAACCATTTGATATTAGCAAAGTCATGTACAGCCTGTTCCTTTATGCTGAAACTTATCAGGAAGTTCTTCATGACTTGGAAAGACTCGATGGCCTGGCTAAATTTTGGCATTACATTTGGACCAGCATCAGAATGATCACTATCTGGCTCCTTCTCAATCATCAGCCTTCTGACTCTCTTTGTAAAATTCTTCAATTGTACATATCCCAGATGTAAAAAGTGCGTCATCAAACTTTACAAATTTCCGAAAACACCCAATAATAACTAAACATTGAAAAAACATGAAGTATACAATAGATGGGGCTAGAAAAAAATTCAATTTTTTGAGTTATGGATTTGCTTAAAAGGAGGTAAAATTGCATTAATTTGGTGGAACCGAGGGAAAAAATTGTTATTCCAAGAAATCTTCTGTTCTGCAATCTGTTAAAACAAGATTCTACTGTATATATTCAGTTGAACGTTATCTATTTCATAAATAATTTGAAAAGTCTATATTGAGCAAATTCTATAAAAAAAAGTCTATATTTTTTAAATTTATTTTTAATTATAGGTATGATATTCAAGAAACAGGAGATTACAAATTTTGTTTTGATAATAAATTTAGTCATTTTTCAACAAAAACTGTCTACTTTGACATTTTCATTGATTCTGACGATGACGACGACGATGAAGAAGCATGGAATAATCCAGATATTACATTCCAACCAGATACTTTACAAAATGATACTTTGAGTCAAATTAAAGTAAGTGAATTTTATACATTATTGTATAGTGTTATGAGATATATTATTTATAGGAAAACTATTACACAAAAGTGTTAGATGAACAAGTCAAAATACATGTCATAGTACAGACTATAGAAAATAAATACATTTATTCTTTTTATTTTATCTATAGAATTAAAGGAAAAGATAGAAAACATACAACTTCATGCAGTATGTTTTTTAGATGATAAATATTATTATTACTATGTATCTCCATTATGTTTGCCATCATTACTATTGAGCAAAGCATGATTGCTAGACCAAGGGAGGAAAAAATTATATTAAGCCTTCTAAAATTGCATTAAATTGTTAAATTAACATTAAATTGCATAAAAATCATTCTTTGAACATGGTGAATCTCTTAAGTATAAAATTTTATCAGAAAGATATTTAAATTTTTTGTTTTCTTTGTTCAAGTATAAGTAATTTATAATTATTATTTTTTTCCTCCATTTAAAAACCTAGACATTTTTCAATTCTGGACATGATCTTATAATTTGCCTTGATTCCGGGACTGTCCAGACCAAATCAGGATATATGATTACTCCATACTTAAGGTATATTCATATCAAATTAGATATTAGATTTAATACAAATCAAATATCATATAAATTTTGTATACCAATTTGAATCTTTTAACACACAATTTAATATGAAGATAGATATTTTATTTACTGTTTTGCTTTTACTTATTATTTAAAGTTTTTCTATATTATATACAAAATATCATCAATGTATGCATTTTTAATGTAACTCAGTAACTAGAACAACAACATATTAAAAGTTATTAAAAGCAATATTATAGCAGGAATTTAACACTTGATATTCAGAAACATGAAATTTTTACAGAATAGCTCTATTATATATGGCAGAACTTCTAAATAGCAATATTGATTCTTCCATTAATAAAAAAAAAAGTGTAGTTTGATATGATCAAATCAGAACATTATGTAATACTTTATGTATTTTTTTTCTTAAAAGATGTGATATTTATTTATAGGCAGATATTTGTCAGTCAAAGATTTGTTTAATAAGATAAAACTATGCTAATTTTTTTTTCTTTAAATACATTTGATTCTTATTATACATTACAAAATAACCATGATATACAAAGAAGTATAATAGCAACATGTTTTTTCCTATACTGGTTGTTTTCTTGAAATTCTTTAGAAGCAATTTTATTTTTCTTTGTAATTTGGGAGTTTTAAACATCTTAGTTCATTAATAGATTGTTTAATGTATTTAATAAATCTTCTGTTCTTGAAATACCATCAATCTACATATAAAAACATTTTTGTCCATAGATGGCAATTCTATAGAAAGTAAGAATAATCTAATAATTATGTTTGCAATTTTGTTGTTGAATGAATATTAGTTTAAACCTTGGTTCTGACCTGCTGAACTATTTACAATACAGTAGAGCATCGATTATTCAAAAGTCAGTTATCTGAAACGTCAATTATCCGAAAGAATTCCAGTCGGCAAATTTAAATTTTCGCCAGTGCTGTGGCACTGCAATCTTTGGCTATGTCTTGGGCTACTCAAATATTTTACGTTTTTGATGCTAAATTAACATCTGAAGTATAATTTTTTATTGTTTTTATATTTTTCAATATATTTATTTTGTTCGTGCAAAATAAAAAAATAATTTTTAATGATACAATAGTCTTCATTAGGATTAACATCGACGAAAATTCAACGCAAAGCGACACGCAACAGAGAAAAATTTCAACATGGGATAGGTTAATATATTTTTTCGTACCTAATCGGTTATCCAAAATATCGATTTTCCGAACAACCCCAGTCCCCAATTGATTCGGATAATCGACGCTCTTCTGTACAACAGTTATTGGGCTACACCTATAAATTTCCACTGTTATTTGTGTGTCCTTTCTTAATCTTGAGAATAGCATTAGATAGATGAAATTTGTGACCATATGTGGAAAGCTTAGGGGTTAAAGGCCTCAATTAACTATATACTAACTTCCAGTTTGCACCAGAAGTCACATTATTTCAATTCAAAAATTTTCCCTGAAAGGAGCTAGATAGATGACCAGCACAACTCTATTCTTAATGGGAAAAGTATGATGTACAGGAGCAAGTCACTACTAATTTGAGGTGGAAAGCATATATTTTAACTTAAATAAATTTAAAATATGATAAAAATTTCTGCCTGGCATTGTGGTGATGATACAATAAATAATTGCTTATGTTATATAGGTTACAACTATATTCTGACAAGTTACTATTGTTATTGACAACTTTGAAATGTCTATTTTTTATTATTATTATTTTTTCTTTTGAAGCTCAGAAATTATTAGAAGCATTATATAAAAACAAAAACAAGGGTCAGTTGGCACCAGACCTGGACTTTTAAATGGGCAAAAGAAAATATGAATGAATGTGTTCAAAAAGTAAAAAACTTACTGTACAAAAAGCCGAAATAATTACTGGATTATATGTAAAAAAGGAAAAATTCTATGTATAACCAACTATGTACAATAAGAAATAAGTTATAAAATTTGTAAACGATACTTTATCTAACAAAAACAAGGATGGTGACATTTCATTGCTATGTTCACTCGATTCTATTTATGTACTTATAGTTAACAATTATTTATTCCTAGCAATCTTCTTTACATGTCATGTCATCACCCTCACATAATTTTCTTTTTAAATTTTCGGTGACAGTTTGGGGTAAGTAAGTAATTGGCCTGACCCATGGGTATAGCCAAGGGAAGAAGAAAAAGGAGGAGAAAGTATGGCGAGAGGAGTGAGGATGGGGAGGGAAGGTGTGGAAACAGGGATAGGAAAGAGGAGAGGGGATCCCATGGTTGCCTGACTGGAATTGTTTATTAGTAAAATGATTGCATCAAGACAAGGATACAAATTACACAAAAAACAGTAATAACAATACCATATTTACAGAAGCACTGACCCACATTGGTCCAATACAAGTTGAATCCATACAAAAATACCTGGAGACAATCTAGTAACAGTATGTGGAAAGCCACAGAAAGGCTACAGCAATGACTGTGGCTTCATTCACCAAACATCCTCCAATAATGGAGGGGTGTACTGAAAATAAACTTGGACATATATTAGTTGAAGATCTTGATAGTATTGATGAATGTCCTGAAAGCCGAGAAAATATTACTATTGTCCAAAAGAGAGTTTAATTAAAGGGCACAGCCAGTACAATTAAAAATTACATGACAGGAGTCTTCAATCTCCCCAAGGGCACATGGGCAGATCCCGTCTCCCTTGTTCAGGAAATGCACAAGATAAGTCTGCAATTACCATGTCTAGTCAGAACCTGTGTCAACTGAAAGGAAGGTATGAAATAGTTGAGCTTCCTCCTGTTATTAATAGTAGGCATGAACTGTTGGATGATTCTCCCAGTCCCACTATTGTCACATTGCTCCTGTCATTTCTGATGGATGAGATCACAAATTTGCACTTTAATCCAACTGATGGGCACCTTGGTGTAACAATAGTTGTTGAGGTGAACAAAGGCTTTTTTCATCAGGAGATTGGCCCTGTTGTTACCCTGGTTGCCCAAATGCCCCTTAACCCAGCAGAGGGTGACTCAGACCTTATTCTGCAGGTAATTAAGAAGAGCAACCATGTCCTTTACAATAGGAAGGGTGACATTATACTTCCTAATTTGCTGGAGTGCTATCTTGCTGTCACTAAAGATGGTAATGTTTTCCCTCCTGTACAGCATTGGCATGTTACTGATATGCTGCACTGCCTTCAGAATGGCCAGGGACTTCGCATGGTTGACAATGCAGTGGCCACTAATCTTGAAATAATGCTGATGGTGATACCTGTCATCCTTATCAATGACGGTGAAAGAACCACCCACCCATTCTCGGATTTCGACAGTTTGTGGTGGGAGATCATTCTTTTAACTTTCCTTCAGAAGTCTCCCCCTGAGATGTCATTTCCAGATTGATGTATTTGATTTGCCCTTGGCAGATGTCTGANAAAATTTAAATAACAATTATATTAAAATACTCAGTGATATTTTTAATAATAATTTTCTCTAAGAATTCAGCAGTGCTTTTTTTTTATCTACTTTTGGTGAATCCTGTCATCCTTATCAATGACGGTGAAAGAACCACCCACCCATTCTCGGATTTCGACAGTTTGTGGTGGGAGATCATTCTTTTAACTTTCCTTCAGAAGTCTCCCCCTGAGATGTCATTTCCAGATTGATGTATTTGATTTGCCCTTGGCAGATGTCTGAGTAATGTGAGTTTCATTTTTAGTTCTAGAAGTTTGTCTGAGTGAAGTGCAGTGGTCTATTGTTAATAAAATAAAATACCCCAAAAATATATAGAAAAAAAAAATAAAAATAATTCCCAAACAAAATAAAACTGTTCAGAATTGACTCTTTACACCTTGTAGTTAACAATCATGCAGTTTTATTCTTTGCTTGATTAAAATCTGAAGATCAGTCTATTTTCCAAAAATGTTAAGTTATTTTACTCTGACAGTATAATACTACAATGTTTTGAAATACCTTTACATTCAGATTTCATAAGAAATTATTACAAACAATTGTCAAATAATTTGGTAAGAAATTAATAATGTTATGAAATTTTAATGATGATTAATAGCAAATGTATATATCTGCTTCTGTTATTGCGCCTGCCAAAAATATTATAAATTTATCTGTTTCAATTTTCTCTCAATTTTTATCAGGAAAAGTATATTAAATTTATTCAAAACCTATACATGTTGCATATTATTTTGATCAGCTCCATGTAAAAAATGAACCAAAAATCACAAAACATGAGAAAAGTCACTTATAATAGAAAATTTTAGGTTGTTTGGAAAGTTCATAGCAATTTTTCATAGCTGACAGTTGAGACACTGGATGAAGCAAGTTATTAGAATTGTAAGAATTGAAGAATATTACAAAAAGTGATGTTGTAATGATGTTTTTGTAATGGATGTTTAATTTGTCTTAT